AAAGTGTGCATGATACAATCGTCCGTGAATTACATTTACACGTGAATCAGGTGCACGGAAAGAAACGCAAGGCCTGCCAGAGTCCAGGAGAAGGATCCCCAGGTTGTTGGACCCGCCGACCTGGGCAAGCCTTTGATTGCTTGCTGCCAGAGTGGCCGTCACTTCAGTTTCTAGGGGCTTGGCGACACTGATTCCAGGCAGGGTTGATCGACAAATCAGACTCAAAGTCCCACCAGGAAAGTGATGACGCTCCAGACGAATGGAGAATCCCAGCCGACTTGATGCGACGATCTTGTCTTCCAGGCCCAGGGTTGGCAGAACCTTTATCTGGGCTTTGCTCACCTGCGACAGAGTTTAAATCAATTCTTTAAATGAATTCGCTAAAACTGTATCGTGAAAATTGTTTATAGTAAGATGGCTGCAAGATGGTGTTGTGTTGCACAATGATCCAATTAGCTGGAATGTGTGTTCTGTTTGGTTATCTTCTATCTTGATGCTGACCTAAGTGTGGCGATGAAAACCTCACATTGTCATTCATGCGGAACTAGGAATTCCTATAAGTGACTCGATTCTTAATTATGATGTTAGGGATTGAATGACAATTCAGATTCGAATGTTCCACCGCGAAAGAGATAATGCTCCAGACAAATAGAGAAGAAGAGCCGACGCGACGATCTTGTCTTCCAGGCCCAGGGTTGACAGAGTCTTTAGCTGGGCTTTGCTCACCTGCGACAGAGTTTAAGACAATTCTTTAAATGAATTCGCTAAAACTGTATCCTGAAAATTGTTTATAGTAAGACGGCTGCAAGATGGTGTTGTGTTGCAAAATGATCCAATTAGCTAGGCCTTGCGTCCTGTTTGATAATTAATATTGGTTAGCTCCTATCTTGCTGCTGATCTGAGTGTGGCGATGAAAACCTCATATTGCCATTCATGCGAAACCACTAATTCCTATAAGTGACCCGATTTTAAAGGACCCTGTTAAGGATTGAACAATTCAGATTCGGAGGTTCCACCAGAAAAGTGATGATGCTCCAGCTAATAGAGAAGCCGATTCAACGAAGGTCCTGACACGCATGAAATTTCACTTTTATAAAAATTTGTTCATAGGTATTCTTCACACTTTTATAAGAAATGAAATTTTATAAGTGTTAGGACCTTCCTTTAGCCTCTATATTCACGTTGTGATGTTTGAAATGATTGGTGTTATGCTCGAAATGTTTCTAGCATCAAGCTATGCTCGTTGTCGAAAAGCAACTGCCTCCTTCCTCTTCCAGCCCTATTGCCGAATTTTGCAGTGCAGTCCGGGGCTCATAAAACAATAATCTGGGCCTGACGCTTGAACGACCGTCTTCGTCCTGCCTAAACTGAACACAATAGCACTATTGTATCGTCCAAAAACTATAGTTATTAACAAGGGGTCTTATGCGGGACAAATATATTGGATGTTTACCGGTTGGACGTCGGTAATACCCGATGTGCACGTGCTAAGGGTGGACAATTCCGTTTTAACTTAGGGAGGTCATTGCAGAAATGATTTCCTACATGAGGGACTCAGCGAATTGGGACGATGATCTTAACAATTTGATACCCTCAGTATCGAGACAAATTTCATGAACGATGGANCGTTAAACAACAGAACTTTACCTCTTTATCGTTGAGGAAAAAAGCGAGTTTAGCTGGTGGATGACTCGGGGCAGAAGTGCACTCGGCTGCAAGGTACTCGCCGACCTGGTAATTCGGTCTGAGGCCTTCCAGAACTGGCGCCCGTTTTGGAAGCACGCCCACACTCATATTGGCCTCCTTGTATGTAGTCAAAAAACTAGGACCTTCGGATGAAACTTCGCATCCGTACGATCCCGCAAGGTTGATTTTCCCTGCAACAAAGAAATGCCCAACTGAATGTTAATTTCCATCTAGTAAGACGTTCTTTCAGAGATTTCATCATTGCTGGTTCCAAGCAAATTACAACGCTACATTATCGGCGCTTACACTTATATTAGCGATTGAATTGTTCTGATTTGAACATTGTACGGAGTGGCATACTTCATATGTTGTCTCTCTAGAATAGTTGGATAGAGATGGGAGCAAATTCAAGAAAACGTTTCAATTCATGATTTTTATGGTCTGATCGAACGAATGTCCCTTATGATTCGAGGAGGTTTCACTTCATCTTAAGGACGTTCATCACCACATAAGTGTTTCAGAAATCTAATTCTAGATAGGCTTACTCCATTTTTTAAACTCCAATTATTTAAACTAATATCTTCAAGTTATTAAGGACAGACCGACAGAAAACTCATGGAACTAATCTCCGGAAGAAGTATTCCTCTGTCAATGAAAAGCCTCGATATAAATTATGACGAGAATTTGCAACGAAAAGGGGAGCAACATGTCTAGGTTTCATGTCTACGTCTAGGTCTAGGCTAGTCATGTCATGTCTAGGTCTAGGTCTTGTAAAGATTTCCTTGAACCGGCGGGTAAAAGAGCGCCGAGAATATTAAAATAATTGTTTTATGACTATTGTAAGGGTCGCGGCGGGACGAACCCGTACGCATTCGAACCCGCGAATTTTATGCCGTGCGATGAACCCGTTGGTCTCGCGAATAAGGCAATATTAACCGATACAGGTAAATAAATGTCAATATAAAATAAGGTGAATTGTTGACCGCGCCCAAAAGTGGCGGATACGTCTAATAAAGCCGATACGAGTAAAACCCAACCGATTTGAGCGTCGTGCGATCATTATTAACGGAGTTAATAAAAATCGATCAATCACGCGCTGACAGGTCGGCACGTGCCGCTGCAGTCGGGCCCAAAGGGGGGCGACCGGCACGTGCCGTCAAGGACAAACGGAAGCTTCTAGAGTGCAGCAAACATTCCGATGCGATTATCTCGCGAATGCGTCGAGATATTTAAAAACTAATTACGGATTATTGTTCAGCGTCGCGAGGAGAGCAAAATGTCCTCGCGAACGAATCCGATATTATTCGTTAAGCAGGAAATCGATGACAAGTGTCATGATTTATGACCCTGTAAATCCTAAACTATTGGACCGGCGACTCTGTAAATGTAAGGCTAGATACATAGGAACATGTGTAAACGAACGCCCTGGTCGCCGAGTAAATTCAAAAGAAATTAAGGAAATTGTTATTAACAAATGGCCGGAAATACGGCCATGTTCAATTAGCGAGATAGTGCGTTCGGAGCGCGGCGGGTAGACATATTGGTCCCCGTTAGCGGAATAGCAATATCTATCCGCATTTATGAGTTATTAAATTAAATATGAGAAGGGAAGGGGGGCCCTTACAGATTACCATTGTTAAACCAGGGCCTCCCCGAACTTCCGGCCTAGGGGAAATGAACCAGCAGGGCAGGTGGTAAACTTTGACCCGATCGTGAAAATTGTGCGATCAGCCGTTTAGCTGTTGCTAAGCCCGTCAATCAAAGTGACAGGTCGTCTCGGGTATAAATAGGGGGCCGCGAGCCGCCCACAACGAATTCGCATCCAGTAGCAGTCGAGACCGGCCGATCGCGCCGCGTGGCCCGCTGGACCCCGGGCCGTTAAGCGCCGCGGACCGAGTCAGACAGACTCAATACGGGGGAAAAGTTAATACGAAGAAGTGTTGATTAATAAGTGTCGATCACTATCGGAAGCCCCGATACATCGTTAATAATTTGAGAAGAATTGTGCGGAGAATAATAAGTGGGCTCACTGCTGAAGGAATCGGCATATCCATAATATTGTTGAATAAACGACCAGTACGTGGGGAAAACGTCGCGCAGTCCGACGCCGCCGAAGTTCGCCATTGTTGTACGCGAGTGCTGCGTAAAGATTAATTGTTGATGACCTTGCATCCAATTTATATTGAATCAATGAGTAAATGAGAAGCGCGTCGATTATTTATCCGCGAAGAAGAATATCCTGGTCACCCGAGGGCGCTCTCTCTTCGGATCAGCCGGAAGGTGGACCAGTCGAGTTGGAGAAGAAGATTTACCCCTCGGTGTTTAATTAGGTCAAAACACCTGGCAACCGATTTAAAAAAGGAAACGAAGTTCGTGCCTTTCACGGAGGATCCGTGACGGGACCAGGCCACT